GGTACGGAAACTCTCACCTGACACATGCAAAGGCAACTGGAGGAAGACGAGTGTGATGAAGCATCTGGAGAGCCAGGAGCCTGAGGAACTTGCCATCTTCATCCAAACTAGGAGGGCAGACACAGGGAGACATCAGAAAGAGTTGGCGAGCTTGATGGCACAAAGGGTACCACCCAGGAGGTGGGGCAGAGATGGAGGCTGCATTGGGTACACTCTGGAGTCACAGGCCAGGTATTGAATCCCAGCTCTGCTGCTTACCTCCGTGTGGCCTGAGTCTCTGAGACTCAGTTTCTCCATCTTTGAAATGGGTATAATAACTGTGCCTCCTGGCAGAATCATTGTGAGGATTGAAGGAGGTAAGTGCTCAACACAGAGGCTGGCATCATGGTTAAGTCTATAAATGCCATGAGTGAGCACTGCAGGGTGACACTCTGAGTGTGATTTAGAAGGCACAGGGAGGAGTCTAGAAGAACGAGAACCTATACCCAAAACTAGCCAGGTAAACACGGGAGGACTGGCTTCTTTTTGCATTTAGTGTCCCAGGTCAGGCTTGGGAAGTGCCTATTGCAAGTCAAACATGGACCCACGAGGTAGCCTGGAGCTCTTCCCTGACAGCTTTTCAAGTTTGACTCTTGAGAAACAAGAAACCAAGGCACTCCATTTCATTATGAAGGCACTAATCCTACAAGTTCAGGGTCTGGAGTTAGAAAGACCTGGGTTCAAGTCTTTGCTCCTGGGTTCAAGTACCCGTGTATTAGTTCTGTGTCCCTGGGAAACTTGACATCTGTGGGTCTTCAGTTCTTAATGTATAAATGGGGAAACTTCTTCACAGGCAAATGTGAGAGTTCAAGGACATGATGCATGTAGAGCACTTGCCACATATGCCTATTGTTATTATTATTACACTAAAAGAGGACGATAGTCCCTGGGAGGTGTGGGTCACTGTGTGCACTAAGCACAGCGAGACCCTAAGGGATTCCCTCCTGTACGACTCTTTCCACCCCTACT